ACCTCCGGACGTGAGTGCGGTTTCTCAAGAGTGTATAAACCATTCCGACAGTAATGAGGACGTCGCAGAGGACCTTGCAAGATAATGTGGCAGTGAAAGACCCCTGTTATGAACGGCAATTAGCGACTGCAGTCCACGTGCATCAACGAGGAGTAGACGTTCCTGAAAGATGCCACCGTGTGGGTGTTGAAGGCTATATATAGAACCTGTGAGAAAGAAAAGGAAAAGGAAAAGGAAAGTGCAACTATAACTAACACGTGTATACTGTACACTGACGACGGGGATAATGTCTTAGTGACCCACAAATAAAAGGAACAAAGGGGAGACCATACCGGCTCCAGTAGCTTGCAAATTCGATTGAAAATAAGGTGAAAAGTCAGAAGCATGCAACTGCGGAGGAACTCTTACCGACTTCTGCCAGCGAGCTGACGGACTGCGCATGTAAGTGGACGCCAGCTCCGAAAAAAACGCCTAGACGTACGATCGCTATTGGTAGGTACGGAGAACGCCAGCCCACTGGACCAAAATAAGTCTCACACAGACGAAAATAGCTAGTAAACTCACGACAATAGACCCTATATGCGTAGAAGCTACGCACATTTCAGTGAGAGGTCGCTTCACTGGCACGAACTCCCCGTTAAGACGTACTGCTGTACAAAAGATTCAAGGATGACTGGTTTCATATGCATGAAAACTGCGGACAAAAGTTGGTTACGGTAGGCTAGCGCACCTGTAGATAAAGCTAATGCCTTTTTAAAAAAGATATTCTGTAAGTCTCAGGACAGCCCCGTGTCACAGCAGACGCACGGCTCGACTCCTAGAAGCCTCATAAGAACCTCAACCAGAACAGTACTTTCTGAGCGGCATACCATGGTGAGGATACGGTCGCTTGATAATCCCCAAAATTTGTGACAACAAGATCATAAGTCAGATAAATACTGAAAACTAGGTTGGCCGAGTCCACGAGCCTAGTCGAATATGATGTCACTATCATGTATCACGAAGCACTCGAAAATGTATACATCAGAAAAGCGACCTGCAGAGGCCTGGTTCAGATCCTGAGCATGGAACACACATAGGGACCCTTACAAAGGACTTTAGGGGCCACCGATCCTTTGAGGAGTGACTATTATAGTAAGAATAGACTTGCAACCAGGTAACACCATAAACACTAGATGGCCGATCGGGCTCGATAAGGCGCTGCTCCAGTGGATTTCAGACGGTGAGAGTCGTGAGACGCACATAGACGAGAGGACGCAGCCGAGAAATAACGCTCCATAGGTATTATCCACGGGGATTAATGCGGGCATAGTAGATAAGAGTCAAGAAAGAGAAAGAGGAATAGAGAACTTGAACAAGAGTCCACTCCACAGCAAAGGAGGGAGAGAAAAAGCGACCGATGGGAGTGGCCGATTACCCAACTCGCGAAACACTGATAATTCTCCGCTCTGTCATGCACTGAGTCATGGCGCCTGCACAGATTGGAAGGGAAGACGGATGACCCCACCCCACATCCATATCAGACGCGCTTCATCACCAAGTTCACCCTTCAGTGGGTGATCCGGCATCATCCGGCCCGGCTTAGCCTTACATAAGACAGGCTATGCTGGCCATCGAGAGTGGGGCTGAGTCGCGCCTTAATATTCCTTAATACCCTCGATCCACGGGGTCTGTATTAATGCCCATCGTGAAAAGTGAGCGATGGGCGCCCATCGCTTACTTTTCACTCGACGTTCTTCCCTCATTTCTCCGGATACAATTGAATTGACGCCACCGCTCCACCGCGGCTACGCCCGACCCCAACAACTCCAAAGCCAAAGATGTCACACCATGTGTCTGCGCTAGCTCGAGCACAAGGGCTGGTGCTGGCTCTCTCTGCCATCGCAGAGGGTGCACCGGAGTATGTGTTGAGCTTCGTCGAACAACGATATAACGATACTGTAGAATCGATGCGCGCATCGCGTGATAAAATGTTTGGGCCAGCGCCAGGTACACTGATTTTGCACTGGAAGGTTGTGTACCACGGAGAGTCCCTACCAAGAGAGAATCTCTAGGACGGCTGGCACGTCTGATATCGTTGAAATGCATAAGTCGGCAAGTCCCACAAGTATAAAGGGGTCAAAGCCATACCTTGGGCGTCATTGCGTTATCCCCGGAGTCCATAAAGACGTCCCATAGCACAAGAAATGAGCGCATCAGCTGTGCGTCAGGGCACATACCAAGACTACTAGTCGACCGACTCTACTAACCAATGTCTCTCCCCGTACGCGCGACAAGCCCAAAAACATCGATATTTCCGTGACAGCGCCGACGTCGACGGCGTTTCCGGGAGGACGAGCAACAGGGTCAGAGTTGAGGTCGATGGGATCAACGCTCAATCAATCGAGGTGGTGCCAGGCAGCCGTTCATTCCAGTACACACCCAACTTCTACAACACTCAGCTTAGGCAGAGTACCGAGTGCAAGGACCGCAAGTGTGATAGCAATGGTTTTGCCATCATAGTTGCACACGGCATAGCAGTAAGTAGCTTTGATAATTGGAAGGGGATGAAAGACCTACGTTAGCAAACACGTTGGTTGGATCTTCGGCTCCGTGTATGTGACCATGTCGCTGCATAGATTGAATTCGTACAATAGTCTGCGTGCCCACCTTGATGGCGTGGTTCTTGGCACAGTTTCTCCAGTTGAACATGTTTGCGTGAGCTGTTCCGTGTATCAGAAGCGCAGCACGAGTACTGTATGTAAGAGCGCTCGGCTCGGTGCGTTGTTTGTGCCGCTCCAAAGGTATAATAAACAAAAGCAAATGTGGCTTGCACATTTCAGTTGGGTCCATCGTTTCCTCGATACAGTGGCTGCAAATATCAGTCAGCCATTGCTTCAATCGGTTCCTGTGCAGACCGATGTCCTCACTCCATCGCTCAAGGTGCCCTCTCTCAACGCGACTGCGACAGGGTTTAGCCTGCTTCGCTGATACGTTCACGCCCTACTAGTAACGGTGTCTGCTAAAATATACACGGGCACGAAGTGTTCCACCTGTATCGCTTCTACTAACAGAAACGGGTTTGCTGTACCTAGCACTGTCCGACTAATTTATCTTAGTTCTGACAGCAAGACGAAGCTCTGTGCGGCGTACATCGCCATCTCGCGGCGATTCTCGCCGGTTGGCTCTACGCTTGCAAGGCGCCCCTGCTTCTTATACAATGCGGTTGTGACTTTGACATTGCTCATGCGCTGACTATTGATGTCATGTCATTACGCCGATGCACCGCAACGTAATGGTGCGTCGGAGGGTCTTTCACGTACTTGGCACAACTGACCAGGATGCCGCTGCCTTCCACGTATTGCATCCCGAAACAGAGACACTGTATACGAAAATGCCGCAGCATTCTTGTTATCTCGAGCTGAATTTAGTACGACCATGGCCGACGATGCTCTGCGACATCACTCTTGGAAAACCATGTCTTGTGTTTTGCCAAGGTACCCGCGATCCGGGACATGACTATGTATTCGTGGGCCGACTCACTGATGTTGAAATCTTGATAGAGAATATTCATGCGACCCTGGGTATATATAAGCCACCTTACCTCGCGAACTTGTCATCGTCATCGCTAACCTTGGCCTCTCTCTTCTTCACCACCGGTCAATCCAATTGCAAACACAATGATGTTCATGAAAGCCATCCTCGCACTTTCTCTTGCCGCGTTTGCCCTTGCCGTTCCAGCGACCCAGCCACAGGTGTGCCCGAGTAATCCGACTCTCGGTGCGTTCTGCTTGAGCCAATATGCTCTCTTTACAAGCCCGACTGATTGTTTTATCGTAGCTGATTTCTGTTTTTCTATTGCCGCTACTGGGCTGTCTGCCACCAATGACCTCGGGGTTGTTTTTCTCTGTACGTTCTTGAAGCAATACTTACTTTCACAAGCCTGATGGATTTAACGTAGACAACATTTATTTTCAATACTGCGCTGTTATCGTTGGCCTTCTTCCTCCTCCTCCTCCGTGCTTGTGATGGTACGGTTTACTTCTTGATACCATGGTCGACGTTGCTGACTTCTCAGAGAAGAGCCATCGATCTAACAGGGCCGCGAATGCGTGAGCCTTCTCCGCTCATGTCTACTAGTATGTAGGACAAGCCTGATAACGACACCTGACTGAGTCCCCTGGATTGTTTCTTGTCTTTCGTACCTTTCATTGGCGAAATAACAGAATCGTGATTTAACTGTCAACGAGTTCCGTCACTGTGCTCTGTCTTTGTCTGGTGTGACCAAAAGAAAAGATATTTCCTCGAAAGTGATGCAAGGCGTCCTCTCAAGGTAAGCCATAACGGTAGGGCGGCTAGTGATACACCAATCAGTCAAGCGAACGGGCATACGTGGATAGGGCCTAAGCGCTATGCGCTTGTCAGCATATCCCGTGTCCAGTACAGGTTGAAGACCCTTGAATGATATGTTTGTTCCTATGTACCGACTGGATACTAAGGTACAGTATGGTGCAACACGCGAGGAGGAAAGTGTGGTGCCTCATTCGCAGCCACTGGGCGAATATCTAATTTGTAAAAGGTACTGGCAGAAAGGTGTGCTCGTTAGGGTGTTGTACACGATCATGATTAAGTCTGCACTATATTTCCACCGGCCCAACACCGTACGCATGTTGTCGATTCTGTTAAGGGTTAAATAGCAGGAGTGAAAAAGAGAGTACACCATCGACGGCAACGCCAGAAAGATGAGCAATGAGATCATCGGCGTTGAAGTTGACGGGGAGACCAACTTCGAATCAATCACGTTTGCGCTAAGCGGGTGCTGAATCAAGGACGACTCGAGTCTTGTACAAATCACTGCTGCTTGCGACTTAGCAGTGGCCTCTCTGTTGAGAAAGGCCGAGAGCACCACTTGTTGAGGAGTTCCCATGATATACCTACATTTGAGCCTATTGAGTGTGGAGGGGAGACTAGATCCGAGATTAATCTTTCTTTTGATCCAAGATTTATTATTGAAGTTCTAAGACATCATAGCCAAGTGGTTACGGCGATAGATTAGAAATCTATTTCCCTTTGGGAGCGCAGGTTCGAATCCTGCTGGTGTCGTTACTTTTTGTAGCCTCTTGAGGTAAACATTTACTTCAAAATTAAAATTTTCTTCTTCTGAAATCGCATGTTCTATGTATCATACCATTAATTTTGAGGACGCCAAGGCAATATTTTAAAGATTGACGTCGGCATCGCCCGGGTTGGCCATGTTGCTGAGTGAGTCGTTGAAGCGCACGGTGACACTGACACGCCATGAACGCTCACGCGACAATAACGATAGACATCGTAAGTTTTGCTGCACTAGCAGGGAAGCCATGAAAACCCATTTCCTGCTCACACTCCTGCACCCACACAGGTACTCGACCGCCAGAACAGCCGTGAGATCTTGCGCGCCCTTCTCCACGCCATCCTCTTCCACCGCTTGTTCGGGACCATCAAGCCGCAGATGTTCGAGGTCCTCGACGTCACTATGGTGCGTCCCATGTTTGTTCGGACCGAGCACCCGTTAATGGACCCCGCAGCCCGGCGTCGCAGATCCGATTGTGCACCGCCTCGTCGACGAGAAGGTGAATGTGTTTTGGAAGGGTCTCGAGAGCGTTCCACTGAAGCGGGGAGAGGTTCGTTCGTTTTCTTACTCGCGGATCGCATCGCTGGACGTCACGTCCCGACTGATTGATTGTCGTTTGTGTTAAGATCTCTGTCACGCTCTCGAAGAAGGACCAGAAGAAGGCCTGGCTTGGGATGACCACATATGAGGTACGTCGCCACCATCACCCCTATTGTCGCTAGAGTAGTCGACTGATCCGATTTGGCCGATTGCAGGAGGAAGTTGCGTGGGAGCAGTGGTGCGTAGCCGTCGTCCTACCGCAGTCCCCGATCTCACACATTCTGCACACACATACAGGATCATCAACGCAGAGATACGCCAGCCCAAGTCCGAACAAGGTATGTATTTACACGCTTGGACCCTTGCCATCATTTCGAGGCCTTTCTGTTGACTCCCGTACAGAGCGCCAGCAATTCGACAGGAACCTCGCCGCGACGCTGTCGAAGAGCCTCCGCACGATGCTCATGCACACCTCGTCCGAACAGGGCCGCGCCGTCGTCCCCCCGATCACCAACTCAGATGTGTCGCCGTTCCCGCTCAAGATCGCCGTGAGCGTCGGAGGTGTCGAACTCCTCTGAGTACAGGTCCAAGTCATCGCGTGCGGATAGCTGTGACTGCGGCCGCGGCGCGCGCCGCGGCAATGGCCTTAATATGCGGGCGTCGGTTGTGTGTGTTCTTAAGAATAGGCGAATGCCCTTTCTTGGGGCATTTCTTCCGAGTGAGCCCATTTAGAGGATGGATAATATTGCCGGTGTCGTGCTGCGAGTTCCCCGGCTCATTTCGTGTTCGGCCCTCCTCGTCCGACCGGGTTGGAATGGCAATAGGGTTGGCGGGGCACTCGCTAACCTTGAATCTAAAACTATCATACGCTCCTCTCACCCTACCCCAGAGTCACAGATATGCACCATTTTTGTTGCCGCTTTAAGCACGGATATACTATTCCCTCTGACGGGGCTTAGTTACGTTTACCTGCGATGCCTTTTCACAGCACTGGGACATGGACTTCTCGAAACAACCATGTGCCAGCGGTTTAGATAACGACCATCAGTCACTGGCACGTATGAGACGCCAAACACCTGGTTTATCTGCCAGTTCTGGAGAGGGATAGTCCAAAAGTATCGAAAGAACATACACATACATGGCGCGTACAAGGTAACTACCCTAGTTACAAAGAAATGCGGCAATGCACGAACGAGGTCGGTCATAATTCAAATGGATACACACAATAACCCGTTTCACGGGTAGGAAACGCCAGCCGCTTTCATGAGTTCTGACACTTCAACGTCTACAAGCATGTAAAGTAAGATCAATCCGTCAAGGGCAGTTCGAATCGAGACTTACGGTCTTCCGTGTGCTTCATCCGGGAAGAATATGAGCATGATGCGCCTGAGGAGTTTATACTACGGTCATACGGGAGTTTGTCTCATTAGCTCTAAACGCACCAGGTCCAAAAACAAAGTCTCCGCCGTTTTGCGAGATGTTTCCTTGCTTTCCGACGTTCAATGGATTCTTGAGAGGGCCACGCTGCGAGAAAAGAGGCAAATGGGTAAGCACATAGAGCTAGGGGGTCAAGCAGATGCAACGTACCCAAATGCTCCATAAGGTGCCACTGAGGAGACTGCGCGTCAGGTAGCTGCGTCTTTCCTCACCCTTGGGGGTCGTTTGGAGATTTGAGACCAGACCGAGCGTGTCGTAGAGCTTCCTATCTGGATTGGCGTAGAGATCTCCCTTGAATCCGGTGTTTTCTACGAATGAGGCAGGGCGGTCATAAGTGGAAGATGTGCGAGGTGATTGAGGCGTACTTTGGTAACCTTCAATTAGTGACCAATCTCCACAGCCGACGACAATAATTTTGGTGGACGCCTCCTCGAGGGCGTCCGCGCGGACAGTGGCAAGCTGGGAAACGTATTGCTGCGGTGCGCATTAGTACCAATCAGACACAGAGAGTAGGATAACATACCATGCAACTCTAAACCCATGAAGGTAAGTGATCAGCAAGCAAAGGACAGCTACCGAGAAGGACGCAGCGTCGTACCCCACAGAAGAAGTGCCCTTTGGGTAAACAACGGGGTAACGTGAATATATGCGCGCATCGCAGCGTGAGTGGCGTAATACGCACGAATGAACACGACGATGGTCTTCTGGTCGTTGAATATGTCCCCAAAGCGGACCTTTCCGCCTTTTTTGTCGAACACGTGGATATCTGTGGCGGTTTCAAGTGCTTTGGCGTCAATTGCGGGTGAGCTGTGGTCAGCGGACATGGTGGTGGAAATGAAACGAGTAGCGGGTGTCGTCAAAGAGAAGAGGGGTCTGGAACTGGAGATGCTTTGCGCATGACGTGATGCGATGATGGTGATGGCGCGGGCCGATGGAGAGTTCTTGCTCGTGCACGAGCGGGCTTGCAAGCGGGCACAAAATGTGCCCCGAGCTTGTGAAAAGCCAATTCGTGCTGAGAATCAATCATCATCACTTACGGGTTCCAGTGAGTTATTTGGAACTGAGCCGTCATCTTATTCTGTGCGGTTGACACACAATTCTGTTAAAGGGTGCCGCCGCGGATGCGTCAGAAAAGGGCTTGTGATGATGGAGAGGCGGAGCCGAAGTTAGGGTTAGGGTCCTGTGATCATGATGCATGCATGCACGTCCCGAACAACTCCTTTACGCCAATTACCATGTCGCAGGCGATACTTGAGGTGGACGACAAGTTCTTCGAGCGCAGTTCTTCTGAAGGCTCGGGTCCTCCTAGAAAGGAGAACGTGCCTGACTCGCTGCAACGTGCCTCTTTGAGGCTTGATTTTCCACCGTCATATGTCGTCGTCGGCGCATACCGTCTCCTGTCGGACAAATCACTCTTTGTTCCCATATGGCAAAAGTGTCGAAATGGGTTTTTGAGAGGGGCCGCAGTTGGCGGTGTCTGGGTGTGTGGCTGTGTTTGTCAAGGCGCAGCTGAAGTCGCTGACCCTACTCCCCACAATAGTCCTTTCTGACCTTCTCTATCCAACGTGGGCTCATAAAGACCTTCTGGATAAGGTGAGAAATTATCTTGCACACTGCTGTTTGTATCACCGTCGTCGGGCTCCCCAGCTCTCCAAACGTTATTGGGCACGCGAATGATACCATCTTGGGTTATAAGCCACCATTCGACATACCAACATGTTCGTTCCTGTTTTCCGCCTCTTCTATCACCTATCTTACACTGTATATTCCTTCCAGGGGCCGCTATCGTGTTTTTGTCCTCGCAACTCACCTTTATATTGAAGTTCTTCCTCTCACGCAACCTCCGTATCGCACGTGAGCGTGCCTGGGACCAGACTATTGCGTCGCGCGGCAAGGGTCCGGCATTCTGGCAACCCTATGTCGAGGAATGGGACGTACCGCCAGTAGTTGATGTCGGCAAGTGGGCAGGACTGGAGGTGGCGAGGAGCCACGTGCTCAAGTTCGTCTTGAAGAACAGTGAGTTCAGATTCAGCTTTTATTGGTGTAATGGACACATTTTCACTCGAAAAGTCATCCATATCCCGATGCATGTTCTCCCGGTTGGTGGTCTGTTCGTCACGGCCGTCTTCAAGGCGCTTGATACCGCCCGATATCTCCACAAGCCTGTTTGTGTGCCTATCTTGACCCTACGCCCGCATGTTGACGATTCCTGTGTAGTACTTCCAGGCGAAGAAAATGACGAAGGAGCAGATCGCGGTCTTCGTCGCAGAGCACAAGTGGGACTATCGACGTGGGTATCTGAGTTGTTGCGACTTTGGAGTCAACTGACGTCGGACCCTCGTCAGTATTCGGTTTTACTGCTGCACTTTTGGAGACGCTTCCCTTTGTCGGGTTGATCTTCTCAGTGTCTAACAGGATCGGGGCCGCCATGTGGGCCCATGGTATGTGGATGACGTGACATTGGTGTGATTAATCTGGGCTAACAAAAAACTTAGATCTTGAGAAGAGGCAGCATTGGTTCTCGGAGAAGAAAAGAAAGAATTCTTGATCTTTGGCGTATGCATTCTGTTCACATTTCTCGTCTGTACGACAAATGTGGTCGATGAGGACTCTCGCGCCTTCTTTTCAAATCTTTGGTTTCATTTGCGACTTAATGTCCCACTAGTACTGATTCTGGTAAACTCAAGGACATTGTTATATTATGGCCGTTGCAAACCGAGTGTACGACCCTCGAATTTTTTTTTGTAACGAAACGACAGAATTGCCGGTGGCTCTGGTAGATCGGATTATGGTGTGTCCGACGAATGAAGAAGTGGGAAGGGGTCCTCTAGATTTGGCTTCTCATCTGCGATCCTCACGACTTGATTGCAATATACTGAAAAATTTGTGCTGGCATGTGCCTTGGAGGTCGTGACATGCATTGGCCGACGGTGAAGACAAAATATGATGGGAATAAATTTCAACAATGCTTGTAATTTGTGCAAGGGTTTGGATTTTGTGCTTGCGCCGTTGG